CTTGCGGGGAGCGGGCATGGGCAGGGCGGTGCGATGGTTGGGGGTCCCGACTGCTGCCTGCGGTAGTGCCTGCGGGCGCAGCCGCACTGCTCCTTTTCTTCCTTATCCACCCCCCCTCCCCGGCTCCGGGGCGTTCTCAGTCTTCACCGGGGGGTGGGGCGGACGCTTGTTTTCTGTAGGTGAAGCCTTTTATCTCGATGGTGAAGTTGAGTTGTGCGTTAACCGCTCTCTGTTCATTGCCCTTGGCGGACTTGTTATCAGCACAGCTCAGCAGCTTCCAAGCGGCTCTGCCCTTGGGGCTGGGCTGGATAGCAGGAGTTGACTAAAATAAGCGATTGGCACCTTTCCCACAGGCGTCCTTGTCTCTTGAGGCAAAGTTTTTCGTTCATAGTTTTGAAGTGGATTGGTAGGAGTTCGTGGTTTCCTTGGTCCTGTGCTTACATGTCTCGTTTGGCACGAGACTCCAATTTTAGCCATAGCTGAGATGAGTAACTTTGGTCTGAACAGCAGCTTTGACCTCTGTGCAGCAATCAGTGTGCTTTAGATGTGCAGGTAACTTGAGACTTTCCAGTGACACTGTAGTGTGTTGTGGCATGTACGTGTAGAAGTTTACAGCCAGCTTCTGTGTTACTATGAATGTCTGAACCTCAGCTACCAGCTAAATGTAATTATGTTGGTGGATGATTGGGGTACACAAGCACCCGTGTCTTGCCTTGAATCTCCAAGCTGCTGATCTAGGAGCAAAGAATTCTGTAATAGTTTGTCCGGTAAATAACTGGCAGTTGATACAAAGCTTTCCATTGAATCCTGCCTAATAGTTCTGACCAAAGAACGAGCAGGCTGTGTGATGGCTTCTAACTGCTGTTACAGGTTTTTTTTCTTAAAAAATATGGTCTTGTGTTTGCTGTTGAGTATATGTTTTAGTTCTACTTCTCTTTTGCCCTTTAAGTATGATAGTAACTTTCTTTTTTTTTCCCCCAAAGTAGAAAGTGTACTCTTTAGTCTAATCCCTGATAGGTCTAGCAAAGCATGGGAGCTTTATTGCAGAAGTACTTTAAAGTTCTTGGCTACCCTTAACTGATATCGCAAGTCAGAACCTTGACTTGTGGTCATTGTAAACAAACTCAGGCAAAAAAAGGAAGCAGTGAAGGTTTCTCCTTCTTCAGAAAGGCTTTAAGTCTGCTGTGTTGAAGGCATTTGAATGGTGCTCAGAAGAACAGGTATCTTTGTGGGGTGGCGAGTTTTTGTATCTTCAGAACTGAGCCACAAATACCAGTTCTTCGTGTTTATGGTAGGATGCAGGTTAGATTTTCCTGACTAGGATTAAATTTAAACTTTATGAAGGGAAGAGTTTTGCCACACTGCCTTGCTGTCATCAGTGCTAGCTTTAGCTTGGACTCCAGCCATCTTGAAGTAGGGAGGCATGTCTGAAGTCGCGGTATGGACTTGGCTTTGTGTGGCTGCTGGAGTGAGGCTTGGGCTTCTGAGCATATGAATTCTTTTTTTTTTCTTTTTCAGTCCTACTATTTTGACCGGGATGATGTGGCTCTGAAAAACTTTGCCAAGTATTTCCTGCATCAGTCCCATGAGGAACGTGAGCATGCTGAGAAGCTGATGAAGCTACAAAATCAGAGGGGGGGACGCATCTTCTTGCAGGACATTAAGGTGAGGAGGAGCTTTGGTGGTACTATACTTGTGGTTTCCCTGTGGGCCTTTTAGAAGGAGCAGCAGCTGACAGTAGATAAGCAATCTAGTCTTGCTGCAATCTGGGCATGGCACTCAGCCCAAAATCAAGATAGGCATTGTAATTTGGTAATTTGTGGTGACAGACTAAGAAAAAGCACTTCCTGTGTAAGAAGAGGATGCCTGGCTCTAGCTGGCTTGCTGTGGAGTCAGGCTAACTAGAATGCAACTGGTTTGTCCACCTTTAATGGTGAAAGTGTTCTCAATACTGTTTTGTAGAGAGCTCTGGACTTGCTTGCCATGGGAATATGAAATGCCAAGTTTCCGATTGCTTGATATGACTCAGTACAAGATTTCAAAGCACTGTTTTCTTGAAATCACTTCAGTTAGATTATTCAGAACAGCAGAAAGTGTCTTAGGCCAGTTCAATGCAAAGTGCCTCTTTATTGGGGAAAAGTTTATGAAGACACCTAAATGCCTGAACTTGGTCTAAATGGGCTTTGAGACTGATCTAAAAGTCTTTGCTCTGTAATGGTGCGTAGGTACTTACAAAGAATATGGTTGTGTGCTTTCCTCTTCCAGAAGCCAGATCGTGATGACTGGGAGAATGGACTGACTGCAATGGAGTGTGCCCTGCACCTGGAGAAGAACGTGAACCAGTCACTCTTAGAACTGCACAAACTGGCAACTGAAAAGAATGACCCACACGTAAGTGGATGCTGAAGCTCAGCATGTGTGTAATTATGGGGGTTTGGGGCCAAGTTACCTGTCCTAAAGCTGAAAAAAAGGGTGTGAAATAGTGGCACAGCCTTTCCAAAGGGCCCAGATCTCAGCCTGTGCCTGACCTGTTTGGTAGGGTTATGGCTATCTCTTCCCAGGAGGACCAGTTGCAGTGTTAAGATGGCTGAGGCCTGCCTTGTGGAACAGTGCATGCATCACTGTGTTCAAACCCTTCTGTTGCTCATTGGATCAGAGGGCACTCATTAACTGTGTTCTGAAATGTATTGAGCTTTATGGAGAAGGCTCATTTCTGGGGGAAATCAGTTCTTTAAACTAATGGGTGTCTGTAAGGCCATCATAAAATTTTAAGACTGTCACTTCTTATTGTTAAAAACCCTGACACTTGAGAGCACTGAAAGACACTTGAGAAGTCTGAAAACACAGGTTTCTTCACAGATGGAAGTTATTGGCAAGGCTGGATTGATGCTTCTTGGTATCAGAAAGAGATCAGTGGGTATCTGAATCAAAGTACTCTTGGAAGTGTCTTGCATAAGTTAGAGGGACTATTTCTATTAAAAACACAGCTGGACAATTCTACAGCTGTGAATCCTCATGGTGATGAATTCAAGTGCAGTGAGGGCTTCTAAATCTGTTCAGAAACTTTCCTATTGCTTCCTGTAGTGAGGAGGGAGGGAAGGCATCCTGAGCTGCTGATGCTGTAGGGTTCTGGAACAAGTGTGCCTAGATAAGACCAAAGCAAGGCAGACTTTTCTGGCATTGCTGAGGCAAAAGTAAAGGCTTCTTCCTCTCTGCTGTCTTCTGCAGCTTTGAAATTGTCATTCTGCATATTCTTCTTTCTCTAGAGAGGGTTGGTAGTTTCAGATCCTGTTTCAGCAGCATACGCTGG